CGCCAGGCGAAAGGATGGAAAGCCGAGTCCTTTAGTCTCGGTTGGTGGCTTGGACCGGGACTAAAAGGGGGCCTTTAGTCCCGGTTGGAGCCACCAACCGGAACTAAAGGGTTGGTGCTGTCGTAGCCAAAAGTTTAGTCCCACCTCTCTAGTTGAGAGGAGCTCGGAGTGGTTTATGAGCACTGTTGCGGCTACCCTCTCGAGCTCCTCTCTACTTCAGGCAATACATGCCTACCGCTCGCCCTGTTGGGCCTGCTTGTACTGCGGGTCTGCATCCTAGCCCATATGTAGGGTTTCTAGTCGTATGTAGGTCGTGGTTGCTTAGTAGGCGGGCTTTTTTGTATTTTTTGCATATTAAATGTTTTTAAATTTTTATTGTTATTTATTGCATATGTTATTTTTATTTATATAATTTTAGTTGCATATATAACTTTAGTTGCATAATTTTATATAGTTTTAGTTGCATAAATTTTATATAATTTTAGTTGCATCAATTTTATTTTTTATTGATTCTTTTTAGTTGATTCCTTTTAATATTATAGTTTTATAAAAGCTTCTTAGTTTTCTATTAAAGTGTGTAACAAAAATACTTTATGAAAATTCTTTTTGCTATTAAAGTTTTTAACAAAAAAAATACTTTGATAATTTTAGGTAATATTATTTTGATTTTTCAGTTGATTCTTTTTGCTATTGAAGAACATTATAGTTTTATTTTAGTTGAACATAACAAAATATTTTAATTGATTCTTTTTGGTTCATTATTTTTTCTATTAGAATTTTATAAAAGTTTTTTAGTTCATTCTTTGAGCTAAATTACCCTGAAATTGAAAATCACTACAAATGAACTCACAAGAGGTTGAAACTTGTCATGGTATCATAATTTCACCCACATAGCATGTGCTAAATAGTTGAGAGGGTTACGGGAAAAACTGGATGCACTTCGTGTACAAACTAGACAATCTCTTTCGAAGTATTAGGGTTCGAACGAAAACTCATCTATTACAAAAGGGATTTTGATACGTCTCCAACGTATCTATAATTTTTGATTGTTCCATGCTATTATATTACCTGTTTTGGATGTTTATGGGCTTTATTTTATACATTATTATCATTTTTGGGACTAACCTACTAACCGGAGGCCCAACCCATATTGCTGTTTTTTTGCCTATTTCAGTATTTCGAAGAAAAGGAATATCAAACGGAGTCCAAACGGAATGAAACCTTCGGGAACGTGATTTTTGGAACGAACAAGATCCGGAGAGCTTGGAGTACAAGTCAAGAAACAGCCGGAGCCTCCACGAGATAGGAGGGTGCCCCCCCCTGTAGGGTGCGCCCCCTGTCTCGTGGGACCCTCGGGCGTCCACCGACGTACCTCTTCCTCCTATATATACCTACGGACCTCGAAAACATCTAGGGGCACCACGAAACACAATTTCCACCACTGTAACCTTCTGTATCCGCGACATCCCATCTTGGAGCCTTCGCCGACACTCTGCCGGAGGGGGAATCGACCATGGAGGGCCTCTACATCAACATCCTTGCCCCTCCTATGAGTTGCGAGTAGTTTACCACAGACCTACGGGTCCATAGTTATTAGCTAGATGGCTTCTTCTCTCTTTTTGGATCTCAATACAATGTTCTCCCCCTCTCTTGTGGAGATCTATTCAATGCAATCTCTTTTTGTGGTGTGTTTGTCGAGATCCGATGAATTGTGGGTTTATGATCAGATTTATCTATGGATATTAATTGAATCTTCTCTGAATTCTTTTATGTATGATTGAGTTATCTTTGCAAGTCTCTTCGAATTATCGATTTTGTTTGGCCTAGTAGATTGATGTTTCTTGCCATGGGAGAAGTGCTTAGCTTTGGGTTCAATCTTGTGGTGTTCTTACCCAGTGATAGAAAGGGTTGCAAGACACGTATTGTATTGTTGCCATCGAGGATAAAAAGATAGGGTTTATATCATATTGCATGAGTTTATCCCTCTACATCATATCATCTTGCTTAATGCGTTGCTCTGTTCTTATGGACTTAATACTCTAGATGCATGTTGGATAGCGGTCGATGTGTGGAGTAATAGTAGTAGATGCAGGCAGGAGTCGGTCTACTTGTTATGGATGTGATGCCTATATACATGATCATGCCTAGATAACGTCATAATTATTCGCTTTTCTATCAATTGCTCGACAGTAATTTCTTCACCCACCGTAATACTTATGCTCTTGAGAGAAGCCTCTAGTGAAACCTATGGCCCCCGGGTCTATCTCTTATCATATTTGCTTTCAATCTACTTTTATTTGCATCTTTACTTTCTTGCATCTATATCATGAAATAACAAAAATATATTTATCTTATCATACTGTCTCTATCAGATCTCACTTTCACAAGGGGCCGTGAAGGGATTGACAACCACTTTATTGCGTTGGTTGCGAGTTCTCAGTTTGTTTGTGTAGGCGCGTGGGACTTTGAGGATCTTCCTACTGGATTGATACCTTGGTTCTCAAAAAACTGAGGGAAATACTTACGCTACACTTGCTACATCACGCTCTCCTCTTCGGGGAAAACCAACGCTAGCTCAAGACGTAGCAAGAAGGATTTCTGGCGCCGTTGCCGGGGAGGTCTTCGCTCAAGTCAAGACATACCAAGTACCTATCACAAACCTATCTCCCTTGCATTTACATTATTTGCCATTTGCCTCTTGTTTTCCTCTCCCCCACTTCACCCTTGCCATTGTATTCGCCCTCTCTTTCCCAATCTCCTCCTCTCTTTTCCGCTTACCTCTTTCTATTTGCTTGTGTGTTGGATTACTTGTTGCCATGGCACAAGATAATACCAAATTGTGTGATTTCTCGAATACCAATAAAAATGATTTCCTTAGTACTCCGGTTGCTCCTCTTAATGATGTTGAGTCTTGTGAAATCAATGCTGCTTTGCTGAATCTTGTTATGAAAGATCAATTTGCCG